TTCATTATTCCGAATTTTTATACTATAACAAGTTTGTTAAGCTGGATGATAACGATATTAGATTCTTAGGGAAATACATTATCAAAAGATTTATTGATGATGTTGATCAAGGCCTAGTTCCTTATTCAGTTGTCAATGTATATGGATATCTCTTTGGAGGTATCATATATAGATATGCTATTCTTGAGAACGCAGACGACGATGTGATTGAATCAATCAAAACATTTGCAAGATGTTTCCGAATGTGTGACTGGAACCTTCATGTTCGTAAATATAAAGAACCTAAAATCAGCTACTTCTACTATGATGGTACACAAAACAAAATGCCATGGCAAGAGTTTATGCCGCCATTAGAAATTGTAAATAAAGATCCGGTCTTTTGAATAAATTCATTTTTGCGTTATACATTGAAATAAAACCAGCTAGAACAACTAAGGCGTCAATGGTTTTCTTTAACTCAAAAGCTGCTGGTTTTATCTGTTCATTCCATACTTTACCTCTTCTATCTTTATCTCTTATCTGCCATACACATTTTGCAACTAATGAAACAAAGTTATCGTATGTCTTAAATTCTTCGGATTTGTAAAGGTCAGAAATATTTTTATAAACCATGTCGCAATCTTTATCCATAACTTTATGGTTGCAATGAAAACCAAGGAATTCATAATTTACTTTACGTATGAATTTCTTAATTTCTACTGAGTCAGTTGCTTTGACTTCAATTTCGTCGAATTCAGGAATAGTTAGTTTTTGCTGCTGAATTTCAGGTAGTTTAGGCAAATGGTCGATGAGGTCCTCTACTTCATAAAGATACTGTTCATTTGTTTCATCTTTCGCACTACAGTCTAAATTACTTGTTAAAAGTTCTTGCTTTATCTTCTGGATTTCTGTTTCAAAAGTATATGAAGAAGGAATAAAGCTTTTCATCTCTACCAACATTGACGTAGGATTCATGACTAGCGAGTTTGGTGCTGTAGTTGTGGATAGAGTCCCGCCGTTCGTGGCTTGAATTGTTGTTGTGCCGATTGTTGAAATCATATCTTTTATACAAAATAAAAATAATTTTAAAACTAATTTTAAAACTAACTTTATTTTTTCTATCTTAAGGAAATTCATGAAAATTCACGAGACCCAAAGGGTCTGAGCCACTAAGCGGCGGGGGTGAAACAACAGGTGAAAAAACAGGTGAAATCTCACCTCTTCACCTCAATTATATTTTTGGTGAATTCAATAAAAATAAATGGTTCATTTACTCACAATATTTTTGTACAAAACGACCCCAAACTTTTAACTTCTTTTCTGCAGTTTCTAATGCTATCTTAGCGAGTTCATATTCTCTAAATTCTCTCTTTAAATCTTCTTGTTCCCATTGGTCTAGTTCGTATGGAGAATCTCTATAACCATAACATATCTCACGTTCATGTTCTAATTGTTTTTCGCACATTTTTCTAACTTCTTCTTCAAACAAATGTTTAGCATTTTCTACTGTATCTTCGAGTTCTTCTTCATCTAACTTCTCATGAACTTTCTTGTCTATGGAGTCCATAATTTTTCCAACTGCTATGCAATATTTTGGAGAAGCCCACATTGCTATATAGTTTATAAGTCTTGGGTCTACATACGTTCCTCTAACCTGTTTGATTTCATCAGGAATTCCTGCATGAATTTTGTATAAAAAGCAACCGCCGGAATTCGGACTGTTGCTATATTCTTCACAAAACGCCTTATAATACTCTTCCCAGGACTTATTTTCCAACAACTTTCTAAAGTCTTTCCTAAACTGCTGACACATCTTTGTTGCATTAATGTAACTATCCTTGTCTCTACGTAAGACTTCAATACCATTATAAGTGCCTTTTGTGAATGTTTCGCCATTAGATTTGTTCGTGAATGTTTTTGCTTCGACTGACATTTCTATTCTTACATACAAAATAAAAAAAAAATAAAAATAATTTTAAAACTAACTTTATTTTTGGACTGCATCATATTTCCAGGACTGTTGTCAAAATGTCATGTTGTCTCATTTTTTCAGAGAAGTTAATTAACCGAGTGACACATGGTGACGTAGTGACACCTTCAGTTCTTCAAAAATAATTAATTATTGAATAACCTAAAAACCATTAACGTAAACATATATTTCTGCAGTTCATCCATTACTTCATTACCTAATTAATTACAGACATAAAATATATTTAGTTCATTCAATGAACGCGGTACCATGCGAATACAGTCACAAATGGTGGCATGTAATCTTTACCCGAGCCTGTTGGATTTGTTGTGAAAGTATGGACATGATTTCCTCCTGGTTCAGTTTGTCGAAAAGTCTTTTTTGTTGAATCGTTATAAGCTGGAGATAAAACATCATAACCGGCTTCATAGTCTGAGTTGTATAATGGGTGGTCTCTTAATGAGTGGCTATGGTCGCCAGAAAAGTTTGTAGTTCCTGTATGAGTGTGCGGTGGAAGGTTTGCTTCTTTAATTTTCTTCGAACCTCCTGTTTGCTTTGAATATCTAGCACAGTATAAGAATTTATCTACAATCTGCTTCCACATACCAAAACCCAAAACTGTTTCTGGATTTGTTGAATTCATTGACGTATAAATAGAACCAACAGGATATAATGTTTGAAGTATTTCATTTTTCATGCTTGTAATCACATCATTTACTTCCGACTTCTTTGCATAATTTTCATCAACATAAGTTTTATCTGCTTTAAGGTCTAAACATCCTGAAACCCATTCTGTATCAGCTTTAACTTTAAAAGTCTCCGATGTCCATTCCTTATCCGCCTTCTTCTCTAACTCATCGTTAACATAAGTTTTATCTGCTTTAAGGTCTAAACATCCTGAAACCCATCCTGTATCAGCTTTAACTTTAAAAGTCTCCGATGTCCATTCATGATACCATTCAACCTTTTCTTTAATTTCATTATCTTTTTCATCAACATAAACCAAATTTGCCTTCTTATTTAACTCACTATCCACATATTCCTTATCTGCTTTCTTCATTAACTCACTATCCACATATTCCTTATCTACCTTCTTATTTAACTCACTATCCACATATTCCTTATCCACCTTCTTCATTATGTCGTTTAGGAAACCTTCTATGAATTCCTCATTTAAATTAAATCTTCCAATCTTCAAAACTTTAGGAAATGCATTTAATGCGTAATATCTCTGTTCTTCTGGTGGAATTGATGTTATATCATCCGTTATTCCTTTAATTTTTGAATTCATAAATAAATTTCTTTTATATTTGATATCACTGCACCACCTTTGCAAACGAATTCGAAACGGTCATTTTCAATACTATCTCCAAATCTCCATATTTCAACCTTTGCGTTTGTTCTGCCGTCTTTGAATTATATGCATATATGGCGTATGTAATAAGTTGTTGTGGTTGCTGTTGTTTAATCATTTTTTACGATTTAAAAATAAATATTAATGGTTATCTCATCAGCTATTTTCTCTATTTGAAATTGCCATAATATTTCATTCATAATTCTAAATCACAATCAAATAGGTCAGTTATTCTAAATTTAATATTTGATAAATCTTTTGAATGAAGAATAAATGAATTCCCGGATAATTGAAACGGATATGATAAAGAAAATGTGTTTAAGTTGATGGATAAAATGTTTTGTATTGATGGGTAAGATTAGGGTCTAATGTTTGATTGAAAATCTCATTGGGTATTAACTTTATCACATTTGATTAAAATGAAATTGGAACCAGTGTCAGAATACAAAACACCCCAACATCTTTTCAAAATTTAATATCCCAACAATGAACGAAGATGAGGAGGACAAAATTTAATTTTCAGTGGGAATTTAATAAGGTTATTTATTTCATCAAGTTCAAAAAGTTTATCAGGTTTTGATTTAAAATTTTCTTCATACCATACGATAAATGATTCATTTAAATAACTTAAAATCATGTTAATATCCCATTTCGCTATCACATTATTTATATACATATTATACGTTTTTTCAAGGTCATCTTTAATAAATGATATATAATCTGAAGGGTCTAAAAGGGATTAAATTTACCACTCACAGAAACGAGAGTAACATTATAAATTCCGCTAACTGTTAAATTTAATTCACAGCTATTATTCGAAATAATATTGATAATTGACATTTTTATTACGATTAAAAATATGGTAAAGCGTTATTTTCCAGTGATAAAATAAAACTAGAATAAGATTACCTCAAGAATTCATAAATTCAACGAATAAGAAATTTATTCATGTTATAAATTTTAGTGTTTTCAGAAAATATGAGTCAGTGTCTTATTCATCAACAGGTTATATTTCACTTCATTCAAATTTAGTTCAATCAAACCCATATAATGACCATTTCATAAGATTTTCAGATGGTATTAAAAATGCAATTGATAGATTAAAATATGAACAGATTGACAATATCGAATTTTTGGAATTTTGGTTTAAATATCCGATGGAAAAAAGATTGAAGTTAAAGATAAAGCTGATACTATAACAAAAACAATTACAATGACCGATCCGGATAGTGGGGAACAAAAAGAAATAAAACAAACGATAGAAACTGGTGAAAGGTCAATTATTATTGATTATGATTCAAAGGATTATTATTCGATAATGTAATGCTTGAATATTAAATAGCCTTAACAAAGAATTTTTCAAGTGATATTTTATATTCATCAACTATTTTATTATAAATATCATTATATGTTAAATGAAGTTCAGTTGTTGTTCCATTCTTTGATATCTTAATTGTGCTAATATCCTTTATAGGATTTATTTTTGCAACTGTTCCGCAGCATGAAACCTCATCATCTATGAAAAATTGAATCTTAACGTCTGAATCTTGAACATCACAAAGAATGGCGATAATGTGAATTAATGATTCATAAGGTAAAATAATTAAACCGGATTGGTCAATTAAATTTATTATTGAATCATAATTATTAATTATTATATCACGGTAAATTTTCATTAATTCAGAATTAATGTCTATTTTATATGGGTTCTCGATGTTTGATGAAAGGGTGGGGGTATGTTGGATAAGTGGGAATTTCAACGGGTTCTTTACCGGGTTCAGATAAAATGATTGGGTTTCCATTCTCATGGTTTTCTTCATTCTCCTCATTCTTCGGTAAGTCACGAGTTAATAAATTTGGTTGAGTTGCTGACCTTGTTAATTCAGAGCTAACATTAACTTTAACATTTTGAATAATTCGTGATTTATCATCATTTACGTTATAACCAACCGTAATCTCTGCTTTTGCGTTAGTGTTCTTTTGACTAGTGAAACGTCTTCTCATTTATATTCGAATGAAAAAATATATTTAAACTTTTATTTTGCTGGAACTTTTGAATCTATTATTCCCTGTATTTGTTCATGAAGTTGATTTTTAGCTGTTTCATCGTAATTAATAGACCTAATATATTCATTAATTGCATTCTTATAATCATCTGATTTCTCAAATTTTCTTTTATCTGATTCCTTAACTAAATCATAAGTTAAACCTCGTTGCTGATATAATGGTTTCTTAATTAAATCTTTGAATGCTTGAGATAAAGCACCCGATGCAATTCTTGCTACTATAATTGGTTGGAATTGCTGTTTAAGTTCATCTTTAACATTTGCGAAAACTGGATCGAATAAAGCAACTTTAAAGAATTTCTTAGCTGAAATTTCAGGTCTAATATTTGCATATTTACCATCAAACTGGTTAGAATATCGTGGTAATCCATCCGGTCCTCTTCAATAGCATTTAATTCTTCATTGAAATAAGAATATGGATTATAACGGTATGAATTAATTGGACCATTTTCACCTTCTCCAATGTATTGTTTAACAGCTTTTCCATTTTCATCAAATTGCATAGGATAACGTTCATTATATGCTTTACGTTTAGGATAATCAGTTATAGTTAATTTGTAACCATTTATGACTTTAATATTACCTTGACCATCAGTAACGAAAACTTCATTTATACCATCAGGTTTTCCATTTGGACCCGTAATGTCTGCTTCGTGTGCTTCCCAATTTGGACCTTGACGTTTGGCATATGCTTGAGCTTCTGGTAATGTTAAAACGTTTCTCATTTGTTTAACATCTTTTTGAAGACCAGCAACAATATGAACTAATTCTTTCATTCCATCAGGAACTTTCATAGTTCTATTATATGCACCCTTTTTGTTTGTCCCTTGTTTTAATGGAACCTGTAGAAGATTTGCTATTTCTGTCATGTTTAATTATAAATAAAAAATAAAAATTAATTATAAAAAGTTAATCAAATTTAACACCTCCTTTATTTAAATCAACTATTATTTTTCCATGTTCACCTAATTGCTGATATTGTGTGTAAAGTTCATTAATGCTCATTGGTACATTCACTTGATAAAGCATAACGTTCAACTGTTGACGACTAAACCCACTGAAAATGAAAAGTGTTGATAGATTTGATTTAATGTTTGTGCTTAATGCTTTGAAATATTGAACAGCCATAAAGAATGAACATGAATGTGTCGACATTGAGCTAATAACTGATTAAAATATATTTCTCATTTGTTATTAGTTTTGATTTCACTGCATCATCTAGAAAAATGAGTGAATGCAAAAATTCTCTATCAAAATTTGAAATAGAAAGTGTTTCAAATAATTCATCCCGTTGTTTATCAATAATTTTATCCTCTAATCCTTGCTTCTTGATTGTATTATATAATTCTTTATACATTAAAAAGTTTTTTAAATAATCTTCTGCTTCTTCTTGTGATAAATAAATAATTGGAATTTTGATTAAATGCTTTAAAGATTCAAATGTATCATCTGAAGGTGAACCTGAACGGTTGATATAAATTAACACATGTGAATGGGGGGAAGTGTTAGCAATAATAATAATTTGTTTTAATATCGTTAATGTTTTACCTTTATTCTGTTTACCAATTGCTGCAGTGATTGAATTTAAGTAACATTCAGAATATGGAATTTTCATTAATTTTCCTTAGATAGAGCATTTCTATTATCACTCAATGCTTCATTAATCATATCATCTACGTATGTATTATATACTCCTGCTAATTCTTCATAAGGGGTGGATGAATTTAAATCCATTTAATCAAAAATAAATTTATAATTTTAAACATTTCTATTCATCAATATTTCATCATATGAACTTCTATACTGTGGTGGTGTACCTGTTGGATGATATTTCAAACCTTCATCTGGTGTCCATGTCTAATATGTAGTCCTAGTAAACCAAACCTGAGGAGGATTTGTCACCTTTGAACAGTAAGTGTCATTTTCACCCTGAATGATTGGATAAGCTTTCACTTGTACTGTAACTTGTGAGTTGAAAGTTTCTAATCCATCAAAGAATATACCGCTCCATCACGTTGAACTGGAATAGTGCATAAGAATGAAGTTTGGTCTTTCATGTTCTAGCTAATGGCGTGCCATCATCTGCATTCAGTGGTCTAGTTAATGAGTCCTCGTATTCTTCTGTGCATTCATTCACTCCATCTAAATCAGAAGCTTGAAGCATACGTGTAAAGAATATGTCGCCCACTGTGGTCATCGCTTGATCGGGGAAGTTTCTGGAATCTATAGTGACCTGAAGACCTCGAAGCATTGGATTTTCTAAAACTGTTCTTTGCATTGCATTCTTCGGAAATGTTAACACAACATCTGTAACATTATGAAGAGCGTATGAGAAATCTGAGCTAATACCTTCAGGAGTGATGCAACCTCCATTTAGTGAACGAACGTCAATATGTTGAGCTGGAATCATGAATGGATCTTCCTTACTGAATAAACGTGGTATTGCTTTAACTGATTCTTCAATTAAACCGTATCCTGGTGTAATGCATTTATCCTCTAAAACTTCCATCTTTGTGCATGAAATAATAACATCATCAACTGTTGCGTCAGCAGATGTAGCGGCTAAGCTTGTAATTAATTTGGCAGGAAGTCCGATTTGTTGGAATTTGCGATCATATTTATAAACATGATTCATAATCTTTTCATAATTTTCATTAGTTATCTTTTCATAAACGTAATTTTGTAAATCAGCAACTCTTAACGAGTCAACCTGACAAAATACTAAAGTATCCCTGAAAACATAATATTTAAGAATGATATCACCAAATGATTTAGGATAATCATCGAACGCCTGAAATGCTAACAAATCATTTACCGGAATAATCATATCAAAAGTGACATTAACTTCTTCATTTGCTCTCTTGAAAACTTCTGAAGGGTCATATTTTACCACATACTGAGTTATCATATTTTTGAACATTATTATATAACGAATGAACAAACTTTTTAACTTTCCTTTCTGATTTTGGTTTATATGTTGCAAATGCGAAAGATTCACGGGCGCAATCCATCTGAAGATAACCGGCATCACCTCTTTCGGTTTCTACTTCTAATTGTTTAAAGCTTTGATTTGATGATTTGTAACCAACGAATAAACGCATGCATTTAAAAGCGGCATCACATGTGAAAGCTTTATTTGAAACTAGAGTTGCTTTAACTTTGCGTTTAATATATGTGTCACCTAATTGGTTCACATCATGAGCTGGATTTGTAATTCTTAAATGAGTTTGTTTATCATCAAAATATGGAGTATCAGAGTCATAGCATGAACTTTCAAGTTCTCTATAATAACTTCTACCATCATTCTTTGCGAATATTTCATTTATCTTTTCGAATGAATGAAACACATTTCCATTAATCGGTTTAGTGTTTGGCACTAAATAGTTAGTCGTCATTTATTAATAAATAAAAAATCAAAATTAAAAGATGAAAATGAATTTTTAATTTTAATGAAATAATCAACTATGGCCGCAGGTATATTTAAGAAACTGTGGGATAGAGTAAAAAGAGGAGCGAGTAAAGTTTGGGAAACATTGAAGAAGGGAGCAAATTGGATATTTAAGAATAAAGAAGCAATTAGTGACGTTGCTGAATCAATAACACCAAAAGCTGCCCCAATAAGAGAAGTTTTAAATAAAGGAGAAAAAGTTTATCAAAGACTACAACCGATACTAAGATAAAAATAATTTTAAAATAATTTATTTTTCCACTATCTACCCCCTATTTTATTAAGTATTCCTTCAGCTATTCCACCAATTGCGTTACCTGCTTGTGCTCCCATCGCCGGATTACCTGCTTTAGTACCTAATACTCCACCTATGATAGTTCCTGCCGTTTTCGCTACTGGTGCCAAAAAGTTTGCAATGGGTTTAATAATCTTTTTATGAACCCAACCCGCAGCTTTCTTAATTCCTTCCCATAATTTTTTAAAGAATCCTGCCGCCATTTCTGATTTAATATTAATTAAAAAATATATTTCATCACTTATATTCTAATTTTTATTTAATGATAAATGAAACCGATTTTAAAAATAAATGAAACAGAGGAGGAAGAAATAAATGAGAGTGAAAATGTTCAACAAAAAATAAACGTTGTTAAACCGATTACTGAAATAAAAATTTTTTCATCTGTTGAAGAATTTAATGACTATTATGCCAATAATAAAAAATTATTTGAAGAATTGACAACATGTAAATTGAATAAAATGTTTAAAGTTGATGGATTCAAAATTTCAAAAATAAAAGGAGTGGTTAGTTTGAAATCTATTCCTCAATCAAGAATCACCTCATTAATGAAAATTGATGATTTAACAAAAAGAATAGAAGAGATTGAAGAAAGAATGAATCAAATAATTGATTTCATAAATTCAAATAATCATTAGTTTCTTAAAGTTCAATGTTGAACTCATCAAATTCTTCTTCATCATTACCATTACCTTTAGCGAGTTTATTTACTCTTTCAACTTTATCTTTTGATAGTCTTTCGTTTAATTTTTTCTGAAGTTTTTCGTTACCGAGTTCTAAAATTTTACATGGATGATTATTGATTCCATTCAGGATTTAAACAATGTTTAATTAATCACGGAATATCTGACATCATCTATATATATAGCTTCTTTTATAAAAGATAAAATAAATTATTTTAAAATTAATGTTAATTTTTTTAATGATTTATAAATAAATATATTTTTTATTTCATTATGGTAGTGAATCTTTCATTCATGAAAATAATTATTTCTAATTTCTTTTACTCTCTCGTATATACTAGATTTAAAGAATTCAGAACATTTCCCATAATCTCCTAAATGTTTTCTTATCTTATTGGTTTTCCATTCATTATATGAAACTGAATAAACTTTATCTTTACACCTTTCATCACTTCCAATATATTTATATTTCAATTTTGATTTATTGGTTTCATATTCATTAGCGTTTAATAATTCACAGTCTTCCTTTTTAAATAAATGTTTTATGTATTCAGGATTAACAATTCTATAATATTGCTTCCCTTTAAATCTTTGAATATAAACAGGAACACCATCCTCTAAAATTCGATAATCTATTTTATCTGGTTTTACTTGTTGGGTCATTTATGTAAGAATAAAAAAATAAATTATTTTTAAAAATAACTTTAATTTTTTTAATGGTTTATAAATAAATATATTTTTTATTTTTTATTTCATTATGGTAGTTTATTTTTTATTCATGAAAATAATTATTTCTAATTTCTTTTACTCTCTCGTACATACTAGATTTAAAGAATTCAGAACTTTTACCATAATCTCCTAAATGTTTTCTTATCCCTAACGTGTGCCAGTTATTATATGAAACTGAATAAACTTTATCTTTATCTTTACACCTTTCATCACTTCCAATATATTTATATCTCAGTTTTGATTTAGCATTTTCATATTCATTAGCGTTTAATAATTCACAGTCTTCCTTTTTAAATTGATGTTTAAGATATTCAGGATTTAATACTCTACGTTTATATGCTCCTAACTTAGTTCTAAAGGTTTTTCTACAAAATTTAGGAATTCCATCCTCTTTAATGTCATCAATGATTTCCATTTCATTATTTTCAATTTCTTCTTCTCGTTTATGAGGTCTTTGATTATGACTCCATTGATTCCATGAAATTAAATATTCTTTATCATTATATTTATACCTCATTAGCTTATTTTGGCTTTCATATTCATTTAATAATTCACAATCTTCATTTTTAAATTGAAGTTTAACCCATTCAGGATTTAAACAATGTTTAATTAATCGCGGAATATCTGACATCATCTATATATAGCTTCTTTTATAAAAGATAAAAAAATAAATTATTTTAAAATTAACTTTAATTTTTTTAATGATTTATAAATAAATATATTTTAATGCATCGTCTATATATAGATGTAACAAAAAAAGTCACAAAACCCATCCTATCCTACTACTGACAAGAAATAGTGCAAAGAATTAGAATTAACATAAAAATCGAAAATTTAATAAAGGAGAGATAAAATTATTGTAGTATTCAATTGAAAAAATTTTGTAAAATAAGGAATATTGGTAAACAAATAAGTTTCATCTAAAAAAAAGGAAAATAAAAATATAAAAATTGAAATAAAAACAGAAATATAAAATATTTTTAAAATGCAAAAAGGTTTCATACTAATCGTTTTTGTATAATATTTATCATTGAAAGATTATTGAAAGATATTTTGAAAGAAATCGAAAGAGTTAAGAAATATTGAGAAGAAGGACAATTGAATGAATTTTTGGCCGATTGTGCTATGCAAAGTTGATGATAATTGCAGGAAATTTTGAGATTTTCGAGGTTTTGGAGGGTGTGAGTACTATTATATGTAATAGTATCTCACACCCTCCAATTCATCCTATGGCGTCGAGAAAATTTTGGTGAAATGTCGTCGCATTTCACCAAAATTTCTCGGCGCCATATAGAGAACTAGAGTCTGCGAGGTACTGATTCTATCTATGTACCTCGCAGACCCTAGTTCTCAGCCAAAATGGCTAAAAATTGCTCGCAATTGTTTGCCATGTAAACTGTCACTTTTTGAGGAGATTTGACATTCTGTCAAATCTCCTTTTTTCGTATATAAGAGTATGTCAGCTTTTTCAACGTTTCATAATGCTTGACAAGCCATAAAATGATATCAAATTCACTTGTCCATCTTGTTTTTACGTAGAGTGGACATTCAACTTTGAAGTAACAACGAACAGGCTTAGAGCGGAGAAAAAGTGAAATCTTATTCAGATTTTCAAATACTGGAAATTCATGTTCCATTGAATAGTCTTCAACAAATGACTTAACTGCCAAGGAAAGTGTATGCGCTGCACAAGGGATTCTGAGAAATCCGTCTGTTTGAACAAAATTGTGATCACATGCAAGGACTTGAGCAAGCAAGTTGTCAGTTACAACGGTTCCAAGTTTTATTCCATTTGAGGCCAACATTGCCAGAGCATCACGAATGGCACGATCATAAGAATCTGTTGTTCCGTCAAAGCCGGTCTTGATATCCAACGGAAAAGGATAACCATCATGTACCGATAAGACCAGTTCCAGCATCAATTAAGAGGGATACAGTATGGTCGAAGTAATCTGATAGACTTTTTTTGGCTGCTTCTTTGGAATCTTGCAAAAATTTTTCTGTAAGTTGAGCTCGGTTTATAGACTTGATTATATCATTAATTTGATCCTTCTTCTTCAATGTCATTCCTACTTCAAGAATGATTTCCACAAGATCACGGAATGAATCAGAAGATATAGCATTAAAGGAAATTTTGTTACAACCAATAAAAATCTCAATAGCTTAAAGAACCTTCTCTTTTGAAGTGAGAACTTTATCAAAATCGATAAGTTTTGTATAATAGCAAGTGTGGTCTGCTATTAATTTATTATCATTGTAGGATTCTAAATAAAATTGATGTAGACATTGCTTCCCTTCTGCATTTTTTGTAGCGCATCGAACAATCTTATGATGAGAGTTAGATTTAACTGGCACATATCCTTTAGGTATTTCATTAGGAACACCTGTTGGCATGGACCAAGTTTTATCATATCACATGTCGATTACATTTTATCGTTATCATTTCATATCACATGGCTGTACCCCCAATAAATTCTTTTTCCCGGCATTTGTAAAGTAACCCACTTTTTGCAACCTTACGAACCATCTGCTTTCATAATGAAATCAGATATTAACATGATTGTATAACAAATCTTTCAACTGAACGGCATTTTTTGTTTGAAATGAATTGATAAAAAAGTGGCAACCTAATTTAAAAAGTTCCGAAAGAAATAAAATGGCTGATAACGAACTCATTGAGAAGTTGTTAATACATACCCCACATGAAATCAACACAGGAACATCACAGCTTCAAAACATTATTATTACAATCACAGCAACAAAAGAAGATACATTTAATCCAGGCAAATTCGAAGTTAAAGAAAGTATTTTCAATGTTAATCCAGAAAAAAAGATTGAAGACCTTATCAATGATTTCAAAAGACAACATAAATATCCGAACGACAAATATTACCTAATTTATAATAACAGACTTTTCGAAAACGGTACTCTTGCACAAGCTGGAATTACCAACAGAAAGAAGCTTACCTTCTTCGCCCCAGCAAACGAGAAAAAACTTGCAGAAAACGAAGGTTTCAAGCTCAAATTCTGGTCTTATCCAGCTTTATGCCTTGCTTTCTCATTCTTATTTGCTGGACTTGTTTGCAGATTCGATTACAGACTCCGTGGTGCTTATGTGCTTGTAGGTTCTTTAATTGGCGTTCCTGCAATGGTTTGCTTCCTCATTGGTCTTACAGAAGCTTTCTCTAAGGCTACAAATACTTCATTTACTGGTTCTGAATGGTTTGGTTCATGTTATTACGGTGAGAACTCTTGTTGTAGTTGCTGCTGTTGCTGCTGCAAGCCTCATGATTCCCTGTAATAACCAAACCACCAAAAATCGAATTGTAAAACACCAATTATTTATTCCTGCGAAAAAAATTGTGAAAAAATAATATTTGAAATTTTCTCTAAACTTTTATAAATTTAATATCACGTAACTAGAATTTTTGCCTTTCCTTATATAAATTTCAATTTTCTATTCAATTTCACATATGAATTTTCCTAATTCCATATTTAGAACTGAATTCATCTTGGCATATTAGAGATTTCGTTCATTTCTTTTCGCAGTTACAATATTTTTCCTATATTACTCTAAAAGGTTAAAATATAACTCAAAATTAGGGAAAAAAGATTAAGGTTGATAAAAAAACATATTTACAAACATACAAATATCAAATAGCTTGATAATAAACCGGGCCCTGAACAACAAAGCTGCTGAAACAAGCATCACTAGATCTTGGATCGGTTTGGACATTGTGTATTGAGATTTTATTGCATTCTATTGCAAATGGTAAAACTACTTGTTGGATATCTTCAACATCTGGCTCAAGTTTTGCATTGAAAAAGTATTTTTCTTTAGCAGCAGTTACTTCTACTGTGAAATTAATTGGTGAGCATTGTGATCTCAAAAATGGTGCGAAATCAATCCGTTTAACAATTTGCTTTTCAGCAAATTGTATATCAAAACCTGTTTTGTTGCAATAGCATAAACCTTTGATTTGAGAACATGTAGCTTTATATTCCAAAGGATAATCAAGAAGAGATATCTTGGATAAAATTGCTTTTCTTTGTGGAGTGAGTTTTCCTTTAATTTTCTTAATTGATGCAAGTATGTTGATCTTATTATTTGATAAATCTTCTTTTGCAGCTAAAAATTGAGCTGCTGCGTGCTGAATACGTTCTTCAATATTTAATTTAGGAGTAGGAACTGGTTTTGGTGTTCTTGTAGGCTTTGTTATTGGAGTTGGAGTAGGTGTATAAACTGGTGCTGGTGTGTTTGCTGGAATTGGGTTATTGATTGTTTGATTTTCGTGATTTTGTTCATTTCCATGATCTGCGACATTATTTTCATGATTGCTATTATCTGTTGAAATGATTTTAGGATCATTGTGGTCATTATCATTTGAATTTCTAATATTTGGATAAAAAGACTTAATATTTCCAATAGGCGGTGATTGCTTATATTCTATTCGAAAAGGTTTGGCAATAAAGGCAAATACATTAAGTATCTGAATGATAATAAATAGAATCAACTTCATTGCCGTTTAAGGGTCCACTGTAAAAATTGAAAGTCTCTCAAAATTGAGAGGCAATTTGCAAATAATCATTATCGTCATTTTTCGAAAATCCACTTTTCCTAGTGTTCTGATTAATATTATGTGAATACAACAATGAAGCATATGTTTCAATAAGATGGTAATATATTCTATCACTTCAAATCTCATAAAAATTGCAAAATCAGTGAGTTTTATAAGAACATGATTTTTTCGAATTTTTTCGCTTTTGGATGCGTGTTTTGAAAAATAGATATTTTCGAATTTTAATTTTATCTTAAAAAAAAAAAAAAAAAAAGGTAGTGGGGCTTCCAGGCGCGTTGCGCCCTCTAGCCCTGAAGATGTTTAGTATAAATGAAGTTTTTATTCGGAGGGCTTCCAGGCGCGTTGCGCCCTCTAGCCCATAAAAAATTTCTGAGGACGAACCAGCCGGTGACTTTTTTGTAGAGCGCTCAAAATAGTATAACTTTGTCCGGACAAGTAAGGGTCTATCGTCGCTACAGGAAAAGTTACAGGCGTTCCAAGGAAGTATACTTTGAGAAGCCTTTTTCCCCTTATAGAATGAGATAGGACGGTTATTTTACAAAACTAACAACACTTTGACCGAGTAGTTTTTTGTGCTGAACAAAAAGTGTCATATAAACATCTGTCAAAAACCGCTTTTTACTTCACTTAAAATGCCACGTAAGCTACGTAAGAATATACGTAAGAGGAAGAGAGCATTGAAACATCCAATAGTAAAACTGACACCACAACAACAGTTGCAACAACAAATGATGAATGACCCCACTATGTTGCAACAAATGTCAAGCAACCCTATGCTTTTAAACCGAGTTATTGGTGCACAGAGTGGAGGTTTAAGAGCGGCACTTTTAGCGAAAATGGCAGGCTATGGTGGAGCTGCAGACGGAACAGCTTATAACCCTCAAAGTCAAATGAATTTGAGTTCACTCAAAAATCAAATAACAGATGTCAAAAAGTCAAACATAGACATACAGAAACAAATAAGTGAAAACGAAAAGAAACTAGAATATGACAGACACACAAAGAAACTCAATGAGTTAAACGTAGAGAAAAAGAAGAAAGAAGAACAACTGAAAGAACTAAGTACAGAGGAATATGCGAAAAAAGTGTCAGAAAAAGCAGCAGAAGTAGCAAAAATGGAACAAGATGTTATAAATTTGAAAACCATACTACTCAATATAAAGTACTGAAAGATGAAGAAATAAAACAAAAAGCCCTGAAGACATATATGGATAGCGATGAGTATAAAAAAGAAGTTGAAGCAAATGTAAAGGCAGAAAAACTTTTACAGTTGCAAAACCAAACCGTACAGTATGAAAACTTAGCACAAGAAAGTAAAAATAACGACGCAGCCATGCAAAAGGCAATGAAAAGCGCAGAATATATAAAAGCTAATAATGACTGGTTAGATGCCCAAGCCAACGCCAAAGCAGCCCAACTTATAGGGTCAATAAGGACAAAAATACAAGCGGATGAAGACAGTTCAAATGAAGCTTTAATGAATGCCGACTTTAAGAATGCCTTCGAAGCTCTTCATAGTAAGGTGAAACTAGTGAACGACTTCTCATCTGGAAAGAAACTGAAGTCTGAAGGTTTCGACAAAGAGTTAAAAGAAGTAGCACAAAATATGACGAAAATAACAGATGCAGCAACTAGACAGGCAGTTCAAAGTGCCTATGACGCCGTTAGAGCAACTGTTGTGGAAAGTCAAGAAAAAGAGTTACAACAGACCAAAACAGACCTAGTAAATGCTTTCTTAAAAACGAAAAGTCAGGTAGGACATTATGCTGCAGATGGAACATATGTGCCAGCTGGTGGAACTTATATACCACCAAACCCTCCAAGAGAAGCACCTGCACCAGGACTACCTAAAACATTTACATCGTCACATGGACACAGACACAAGCATGCACCAAAACCAACACAACAACCAACAATTCAAAATCCAGCACAACAACCACCTCCACAACCAGCACAACAACCACCTCCACAACCAGCACAACAACCAGCACAAACAGAGCAAGGACATAAAAGAAGTAGAGAACAAGGAAACCAAGAATTCTTAAAAATGCTTAAGGAAGATTATGGTTACCCAGATACTCTTGACTTTAGTGACAGATATAAAGAAGCTATTAGAAAGTTCAAGGAAGGAAATACTGACCCGAACCTATTTAGCTTTATGGTTCAGCACCAAATGGGATATAATTTCAAACCTGGAAAATACAAGCTCGCTAAGGGATATGATTTAATAGCATATCATCCAAATGACATGGATGAATTTACTCCGAGATATTTGATGTCAGAGATAAATGATAATTCAACTCTCTTCATGAAACGCGTAAAAAATAGAGACGGAACGAAAGAAGAAAGGTTTATGAGTCCGGATGACTTAGATAGGGAACTTGTTAAAAACGGTCTCGGAATATATGAAATGCCAGCAGATGAGGTACAAGAAACTCCACAGGAAGAAGTTCAGATACAACCAGACATGGAAGAAATAGTTCAGCAACAACAGCTAGAAGAGCCTGAAGGAAACGAACAAGTCCCTCCTTTGGAAACTAACTTCACAGAACTAGATGAAGATTTGGAACAGCCGAAAAATCTTGACCCTCAACAAGAGTATGCGGAGAATATGGAATCTTTCCAAGAGTCTAAGAAAAATTCGGCTGACATAGTAGAAGAATATCGAAAAATGTTCGCCGACATACAAAAGACTCCAACATCAGATGAAAATATTCAGCATAGAATGGAAGTACTGAAAGATAATGTACGCAAATACAATAACCCTTTTTACTTACGACCATATAACGTTCAATCTTTGGCTGAACTCGGTGAAAATAAAAGGTTAAATTTCAACAAAACATATAGAAATGAAACATTGTTTAAAGTTCATTCAGAACCTAACCAATATGGAAACAAACCTACTTTTGTTTCTGCAGACTATGGAACTACAATGAGATGGGGTCATAAAGCTAATCCGGATAGGTGGTTCATAAACTTACAACCACAATTCCAAGAAGTTGTAGACGCAATGGAAGTGAATGGTGAACCAGATATAGCTGGTATTTTCAGCGCGGCTTTAATGCCATTGAAAGATATGAAAGATGCAGATATTTTGGACCAGTATGAAATGAACATGGCTGATGGAAATATAACACCTGACGTTCTAGAACATTTATCTCAAAGAACTACACAGAACCATAGAGATGGTATATTTGGTGAAGAGTTTAGAAAGAAAGTTAGGGAGAGAGAAGGAAGAGAACCTATTGTACATGACCTTGCAAACGAAAGTTTGCAAAATGTCATAAAAACTTACTTTGCAGACAATGAACCGAGAAGGGATGAATATTTAAGAAAACTCAAATGGACAGTACCAAATGAAATGTTAGTATTGAAAAACATGTTCCTTGACAAAATAAAACCAACTACAGAAATAAATGACGCAAGACTGAAACATTGGGTAAAAGCTTTCCCATTCACAAAAGATATTATTGGTAACATGGAAAGAAAACCAGAATGGCTACAAAAACATATATTTGGAAACGAGCTTATTCCATATGGACAAGCTCTGTTTGAAGAGCTTGAACCGGAAACTCAGGAAAGAGTCATGCAAACAATACGCGAAGACTCAAATACAGACTATGACAAAATCTTTCTAGGATATAGGTTACCTGAGATGGGCGACCAGAGCCCAAAGGCAAAAAGGACATGGGAAATTTACAACATACTAGGTGAACATGAGGCAAAGATGCAACAACTTGAAGCAGAGGGCAAGTTACCAAAAGCGACACCAAAGAAGAAGAGTAGAACAAAGTGAAAGTAGTGAAGAAGTAACTTCATCTAGTGAAAGTAGTGGCAATGAAGGAAAAAGAAGAGTTAAAAACTCAGTCAGGAAGAAAGTAAAGCTTGGTCCGAGTGGGTTCTATTATGATATATAAATCCAACTATTCTATATTTTTACCCATATGAAATGTACGCCGCTCAGAATATAACGCCAACAGTTTTGGATGCCATGAACGGAAATGTTTCCGAATGGTATAACGAATGCGACAATGCCATTAGAAGGTCAGAAATAGTTCCTGGAACTTACGAATATACAACTGCTGTTTCTTACGGAAACGTAGGTGAGTTTGGAGAAGGTTCTTCAACAACAGTAGATATTGCTTGCGACAGGTTTCATATTATTTCTATTGACAACTCATTCTTATACGTGGAACAAGACATTGAAATAAAACCTTCTGCCAAGTTGTCTGACAAGAAAGGTTGCAATGGAATTTTCTATGTCGGATACCAATATGCTCCAGAAGTTTTCATGGGATATAAGATATATTCTAACTCTGACTTAGTTCAAACAGTAACATGGGCAAACTATGAATGGTTTGCTTTGAGAAACTCAGTACAACCACAAGCTAGAGAACAAACAGACCAGTATGCAACTATTGAGAAAATAAGAAGACTTGACCCTAACGTTCCAGGAGTTTATGTTAACCTTTCTGGTTCAGATGGAAATGCTGCCACTAAAGTAAAACTGAAACTTAGAGTTCCTTTGTCATCTTTCCTCATCTTCAGGTTTTTAAGATACTTGCCAAACTGGGCAGGAAAAATTTCTATCGAACTTACTCCAAGCAAAAATAACTTAGTCATTGCACCAACACAAGACCCATTCACTCTTACAGACGTAACGGGAACAAATAAAACGTCATTCGCCGACTTTTGCAAAGACAAAGTTGACTTAGACTTTGGTTTCTCAAACCTCAACACTGAAGTAAACTATTATTTCAATGCTGGTGGAACTGCTTGGGACCCAGTTAAGTTCACATGCGAAAAATTTGAATGCAAGAGAATAGAAAGCAGACTTGCAGTCTATATGTTGGACCCAGATATTTCAAATGCTTTAGCTGCCAAATATATTGCAGTTCCACTTATGTTCCCTATACACCAAATATCTGTCAAAGACTTTGCAGGTGAAGTTGGAAACCAAAGTGCTGACCCAGGTGCAAGAACGGATATTGCTTTAACAACTGCAATGAAACATGCAGATACTATGTTTGTACTGTTCAGACGAACTATAAATGACTATTCTTGTTTCTACAACCCTGGTATTAAATATCATATAAACATAGATGGCAAATATTATCCAAGAGAAGAATATTCTACAGTTGAGGATATGAGGTCATACAACTTGACATTAGATGCTATGAACTTTAACAACAACTTCACAACAACCATTAACCCTGAAATGCAAAGTTCTATTATGCCATATGTGAAAGTATGGACTCATACAGGAGGTCAAAAAACTCAATATACAAATGGAGACCGTTCAAACTTTTGGCTTGGCATTCCATTTGCTGACTCAGAAGACTTTATGGGTGGTATTTCAACTGTTGGTACAGTTCAAATACAATATACTGGTGACAGAGACGGTCCAGATGAATTGAAAGCAAAGAAGTTTACAAAACCAATAGCACTTTTCACGGAAGATGCTCTTTTGAAGATTCGTTCGATGAAACCTGCTGGGGCTCCTCAGATTGGCATAACGACAGCTTCCATCGAGCAGATTTTGGCAGCAGGTCAGTAAGTTGTTCTTGAACTGACTTCTCTCCGTCAAATATTGACAGTACGCCAGTTTTGACATAATATTGTATTATAAACTTTCCTTTAGTAATATCGGTCAGTTTTGAAGTTATATTTTTGTCTGCTTCAAGAACTTTCACCATCTCGGTTATACCAACTTTCTTTGCTTTATGAAAATATTTAGGTTCAGCAAAGACTGCTATTCTATAACATTTTCCATTGTTTGTGTAAAGAACTATTCTGTCAATGTATTTGTATTGTTTGTGAGTATAAACTTTGTTTTGCTTCAATTCAAAGAGATACTCGAATACGTCCATCTTTTTATTCTAAGTAAAATGTCATTTCCGAAAAATAGAAGCGTAAGTGTTTCAAAAGGTTTAATGGCGGTGGCAGATGTGAAGTTAAATTCACCAACTCAAACAAACAGTCAAAGTGTTATTGTCAATGTCAAAGACAGAGATGTTGAAGTGGGGAAACCATACGAAGACGAAGATGGTATAACAATTGTTCCTGTAAAAGAACCAACATACCCTGAAGTCAACAGAGACTTAAGTTCTGTTGCAGATATTCGAAACGACTACCAACAACTGAAAGACAAACTTCAAACTCAGGAGAAGATTTGTCAAGCTTTAAGTATAATGTTAAACTTGGTCGAACACAACCCTGTAAAAGTGAACTCATATGTCATTGCACCTCATGAAGTTTTGAAAGAACTATTGAAACTTTTGACAGAGGCAGACGATATAAACATCAAAGAAATAGAACCCGACATTAGTTGCTGTGGTGTTTCATATAATGCCATTGACAAGATATACGTTATGAAAGGAGGTGAAACGTTGAACTTAAAATATAGTTTCTCAGACGTCATAAAAATATTTGACGACCACAACATTTCATTAAAATTTATTTGCTAAGTAAATGGCAGAAGACATAATGGTTTATACTATTACGACTAAAAACCCTGAGTCATATAATTCTATAACAACAAACTTACAAAGTCCTCAAGGACGATATTGTAAACTAACCTTAAACACAATGACGACTAAAGCCTGTTTTGCTCTTTTGACACCAGAAGACTTTATTGTTGTGAATGGTAAAAAATACTCCTTTGAAGATACTTACTCAGATATACCACCAACAGGTTTTGTTGACTTATTTAATACTTTAAGTACAGGTGTAACATGTGCTGCAACTAGAGCAGGTTTCATTATGTTTGGATGTCCGACTGAGTTTACTATAAACGATATGAGCTATAATACAAAACTTATTTCTGGTTTTTACTACCAACAGTTTCCTATAACAGGAAAAGGTGTCATACAAGGAATGTCTATTCCATTGACATTAAGCACACCAATCTTATATATTGTTTCAAACTTAGGTTCAAAGTGTTATTCGAATGTCGACAGAAACTATTATGACCAAAAGATACTTATGCGTATAAACAATACTTTCTCTGCTGGTTTGCCTATTGTTCATTCGAATGCAGAATTTTCAACCTTAGTGAACTCAAACACTTTGGCAAGTATAACGTTGACATTAGTTGACGCAAACTTTGTTCCTGTAAAACTTTTATGTCCTATGTATTTGTCAATGACGGCAGAAAGTTTCGAATTGGAAGATGCAACTGGTGAAAGTATTGTATTACAAGAACAACTTCAACAACAAATAGCTCAAGAACAACAAATGCAACAAATGCAACAACAAAGTCAAGAATAAAAAAATAATATTTTTTTTATTTTTATAAAAATGTACAGAATAGATGTTTCAGATTTTATGACTTCCAAGCATTCAGAAATATGTGTCCATTTAGAGACTATAACAAAGCAGTCGAGAATTTGAAACGTTTAGTCATTTATGTTGACTCTGCCCCAGAATGTTATGTCATGAAAGAATGGGATGTTGTCTTTAACAAACCAAGAGCAACAATAGTTTCAGAACAAGAATGTAGACAGAAACTTAAGAAAATAAAAGTCGTACAAGTTGGAATGAAGATGTTAGATGCTTGGGATATCTTATTGTCAAAGTTAGAAGATTTTTCAGTTCGAGGTATAAAGTTCTATACACCTTCTCCAAACTTCTATTCTATCTTCACTGGATATAAATACGAACAAGTAGAATGGAAAGAAAATATTATAGAAGCTTGGTTAGACCATGTCAAAGAAATTATATGCAATGGAAACGAAAAGGTTTATGAGTATATCTTATGTTGGTTTGCAAATATCTTACAACATCCAAGTGCTAAAAATGAAACTGCTCTCATTATAATTGGAAAACAAGGAACAGGTAAGAATACTTTCTTTACAGATATCTTATGCAAACTATTAGAAGGTTATTCGAACCCTAATATGACAAACTTAGAAAACATCTGCGGTAAATTTAACTCTTCAATTGAGAATATGAAACTTATAGTTTGCAATGAACTTCAAAGTATAGATACAACAAAAGTTTTAAACTCAGATGCTTTGAAGAGTCTTATAACAGACAAAGTTGGAGTTGTTGAAAGAAAGTATAAAGACCAAAGAGTTTGTGAAAATGTTGCAAACTTCATTATGGTTTCAAACAATGCTGTTCCGATGAAGTTAGAAAGTTCTGACAGAAGATATGTAGTTGTCAGAACGTCAGAAGCTCATATGCAAGATACAGAATATTTTGACGACTTAGCAGAAACTTTGACATCTGACTTTTACAACCACTTGTTCTCATATTTCATGACATTAGATATTTCTAAGTTCAATCCAAGACAAATTCCACATACCGAAGAGAGACAAACATTGTTAGAAGCAAACAAGAGTGTATATGAACTGTTCATAGATGAAACTGACTTTGTGTCATTAGATGAAAGGTCATTGTACGATTCGTATAAACAATATTGTCAAGAATATGGTTATATGACAGCTTCTAAACGAACATTCTTGGCAAATGTCAAAAGTCTTTTAGATGTTCAGAATGGTGTATATACAAAGAAAAATTTTTCTGAGTAAATTTAAAAAAAAAATATTTTTTTATCCGATAGAAAAGATGACAAAATTCATCTCAGTAAATAAGTACATGTCAGGACTTAAAGAAGAACTAGACCCATTCACATATTTGAATGTTTACTTCTACCATTTTGAAAAGTCTTCATTCAGCAAAGTTTGGAACATCGAACCAGTTAAGTTTGCTATTGTGACTAAAAATGGTGCGAAATTTGAAGACTTAGACATAGAAGGTTTGTTAACAGTCAAAGAAAGTTTTGACAGAAGGTTCTCAAACCTTAAAGAAGGCAAAGCATACAAACTTGTTATACCTTATGAACCAAAGAAAGCAGACGACTATGAATATTATGAGTCTAAAGTTGTAGAAGTTCAAGGTAAATTGGGTAAAAAAATTTTAGAGTCTAAGCCAGTGTTTACTCCTAAAGAGGAAGAGAACATTGACATTGACCCAGAAATGTTCTAAAAATAAAATTTTATTTTTACATGTCAAATTTCTTTTTCTCTGGAACTGGTTCAGGTTCTTTCTTCTCTTCTTCTACTTTCTTTTCTCTCTTCTTCTTTTCTGGTGGAGTTATGTCAAATTTGGCGCAACTATATTTATGTAAAAGTTCTTTGTCCTTTAATAGCTCATCTATTCTGTTTTCTATTTCATCTTCAAGAACAGCGCATGTGTCTTCTTTGCATTCTAAGAAGTTTTGTTGGACTTCATCTCTCCAAGAGGCGTCATCTCTGTCAACAAGTCTGTCATTGACAAATTTTAAGACTGCTCTGCTTAATGTTTTATGGTTCTTGTCATATTCCCAGAAACAGAACTTTAGAACAAATTCCCCTTTCTTGTTTACACTATGTAAGATTTTATGGTCGACAGATGTTTTGCTGTCGAAAAGCTTGTCTCGAATATAGATAGCGAAATCGCTAGACATTTTCTAAAAGATAAAAATTTTAATTTTTCTAAAAATATGTTAGAAAAAAGTTTGCTGACATTGACAAGAAATTTGAGAATGTTTTAAACAAGAACAAGAGGAAGTTAGAAAATGCTCAGATAAAGCCTATACATGACAAGTTCTTATTTGCTCAGAATGGTATAACAGGTCTAATTGCACCACCTGGGTCGGGTAAGACTTTCACTTATCTTAAAATGGCTGCACAACAACAAGAACTAGATGAGAAGAACCCATTCTATGAGTTAGTTGTTATTTGTAGTACTTCTGGTCAATTTGACCAAACCGTCAATTCGTTCAAAGATATTATAAAGAAGTCTAAGTTAGTATGTATAAAGGATACTGAGTTGTTAGATTGGATAAAGAAGTACCAAAGAAGAGTTTTGAAGTATAATGCTATAAATGAGTATATAAATTCTAAGTTTAAAGACCCAAATGAGGAAATGCAGAGAATATTAGAGAAGAAACACTTCAGAAACAAACAGAAAGAGATAGAATACATTTCGAAGAAATTGCAATCTTACGATTGGAAGACTTACCCTCACAGATGTCTTCTTATCTTAGATGACTTTGCTTCTCATCCTTTGTTAAAGAACAGAGAACAAGATATGTGTCGAATTCTTAAGAAGCTCAGACACTTTAACATTTCAGTTGTCATTTGTGTACAGACAGCAAAGAGTTTAAGTAAGGATGTTAAAAGAATACTTACTGACATAATACTTTTCCCCGGATTGTCCGAAGACGATTTCATGGAACTTATGAAAGAGTCCATGGCAGGTAAGTTTGACAGATATGAACTCTGGGAGAAGTATAAAGTCATACAAGACCCTCATACTTCTTTCAGAATTCATATCTACGCAAACAAAGTTCAAATTGTAAAAAGTCAAGCTTGAAAAATAAAGAGTTCATCTACCCTACTTGTTTGAAGTTGTCAAAATACTCTGTTATTTTTTCTTTCAGTAGCGGTAAGTCTTCTTTGAAGGTAAGTATTGTACAACCTTTCATATCATAGTGTGTTTGAGGTAACGTATCTTGAACTATTTGTTTCACATCTTCATTTGGGGTCATTGAAATCGGTAAGTTTTCACGATAGAACCAATTTCTGTCAGATTTGTAAATCTTAGCAAGGTCGTAAAAGCTTTTGTTGTTTCTTCTGACTAAATGCAACATAACCATATCTTTATCTTCTTCATTTTCCATCTCTTCAGTATAAATCATATACTTATAGTTCTTTTCCTTTCCTTTTGGTACCGAACGTGGTATTCTTTTCTGAATGCTTTTGTCTTTTGCTTCAAGCTTGTTTTCCATCTCTTCACGTTCTTGTCTATGAATTTCGTCAAGAAGTCTGTAAATATACCAAGCATAACGAGGCGAAGCCCACATTGCAACAGCATTTACAAGAAGTCTATGTACATAATATCCTCTCAAACCGTTTGGCAATTTTTCACGATTTTCATAGAGTTTTGGCGACTGGGGTTTTTTACCTACTCGCTGTTCTTCACTGTTTTCATAGAGTTTTGGCGACTGGGGTTTTTTACCTACTCGCTGTTCTTCACTGTTTTCAGAAAAAAGTATGTCTCGCTGTGCTTCATTTAATAGTTCAATAGTGCTTTGGTTCCTAAACCAGTCTTTAGGAAGCTTAGTATCTGGAGCATAACATGCTGTCAAAATACTTTGCATTTGGTACATGTCATCTTTGACTGAACGAATGAGACGTAACTGTTTGTTATACTGTATGTACTCATATTCTTCATTTATAGCTTCATGGACTATAACTGTTGTTGTGTTCTCTGTTGTTGACATTACTGTCTTTACATACAAAATAAAAAAATAAATAAAAATAAAACT